ACACTTGGAGCCCTGGACCCCAAGATGGCATCCGGGACCGCCAGGAGGCCGCCGAGAGGCCCCCGAGAGGCCCCCAGGGACCAGTCCCAAGAGACCTCGAGAGGCACACAGCATGCCTCTGGTCTGCAAAGCAGGCTCGGAAACAAGTTTGGCCGAAGGCGACAATATGCAGCACGGTTGGGGCTTGAACTACGGGCTACGCAGAGTGAACCAGAGCGATCCGTACATCTGAAGATCATTTGGCCAATGCCCGCAACTTGCAGGCGGGATGCCGCGAGCGTCAGCGCTGCCGTGGGTGCCGCGAATATGACCGAAAGCGAAATGGGTATCCAAAGACAGCGAAAGCCCCGCCTGCAATGCGCAGCTTCCGCCGCATCCGCCAAGAAAGAGAGTGTCAAGGGCGATGGAGTCGAAGCGCAAAAGGTGTTGCGGCACTGGAGGGCCAACCGCGAACTTGACACCATCATTACCACTGTGCGCCAACGAAGGTTGGAGACGCCAACGTCTCTGGCAGAGCACGACAAGATGCTCACAAGAAGTACGGGTTGCGGACCCATGGAAACGACAAGGGAGAGCAGTACGTGCCAACATTGGGGCTTCAGTTGCCAGGATACTCCGAAAAGCTGACTGGAGAACATGTCTAGAGCATCGTCACAGCCTCGAGACAGTATCTGGTCATTGTTTCTCGGCACGATATTACACTTACTTGCCCATTCGAGTCACCCGCCGCCAATCGAAGTGCAGCAACCGACAAGGACATGCATGAGGCGTAAACGAACTAACCATGTCCTCGACGCGTGCGGAACATGCCACATTGACCATGAGGCAACCCTGGCAAACCCAACAGACATGGTGACCAAGAAGAATTCGTCGAAACCGGCCTCGCAGCACCATAGGTGTCGACGAGACACGTGCGCGCCGCATGCTGCCACGCACCTATGATACAACGGGGCGACGGGATTCAGCACGAAACTGCTCCCGACGAGGTGTGAAGGAGGCCCAGGTCACGCAAGCTCGCCCCCCTGGGCCTGGAAACCCGCAAGCGCGCGCGATGCAAGTGGCGGATTCCAACGCACCCTTCACGCAGCAGCTCCTCCTGCGGCCGCGGAAGTCACCGCGCAGCGCGCGGAGCGAAGAACCCCCGGGGGTACCCCGACGCAAAAAAAGTGTTCGGCTTCTTGTTGCGCGCCTCCGCTGTATACTGACTACCTACCAGACCACCCCAACCCAACCCGAAGACCCGAATTTCGGGTTGGGGGGGGGGTACGGGTTCCATATGTGTCTTCTCGATGTTCCCCGACCCCCCCCCCAACTGGAAATGGAGGGCAAATCGAGACCTTCGAGTTGGGTTGGGGTGGTTTGGTGGGTGGTGATATACTGCATCTTCGCGCCCTGGCGCCGCGCCCCGAAGCGGAGCAAAGCTCCCCGGACCGGGCGGGGAGGCCTACGAGGAGAGCCCCACCCTCGACTGCCGCCGGCCCGCGCCGGCCTGCGCGGAGATGCTCGTGGCCGGGAAGCCCCTGAGAGCCCGGCTGCGGCGCTGTCTCATTTCTCTGTTGCCGTGGCATCGGTCCAGGCTTGAGCCTGGACCGATGCTTCCTCCTCCTCCTCCTCCTCCTCCTCCTCCTCCTCCTCCTCCGCCTCCTCCTCCCTCCTCCTCCTCCCTCCTCCTCTCCTTCCTCCTCCTCCTCCTCCTCTCCTCCTCCTCCTCCTCCTCCTCCTCCTCCTCCCTCCCCCTCCCCCTCCTCCTCCCTCCCCCCTCCTCCCCTCCTCCTCCCCCTCCTCCCCCCTCCCCCTCCCCCCTCCCCCTCCTCCCCCTTCTCGGCCCATGTCACTGTCTCTACGGGATGTAGAGGCCTCCCAAATGGGGTCAGGGCAGATCGGGTCGGAGGATCGCTCCGTGTCGTCGATGCATCACCGACGCGTCGGCGATGCATCGGCGAGCTCGGCGATGTTTCGGCGACGTCGGTGTGGAGAAAGTCGGGCTCCATATCTAGCCGAATCGCAAGTGCATCGGCGATGCGGCGCGATCCTCCGACCCCATCTACTCTGACTTCATCTGGGAGGCCTAGAGGATGTGCCTGCTTAGAGAGCAAGCTGCATGCGTGAACATAACCATTGGAGGTCCGCTCGGATTGCCTTGGATCGGCGCTGGAGTCCTCTCCGCTGGCGCGCGAAGCGCACCAGGGGCGGCGCCGGAGGCGCTGCCAGGGGACTCCAGCGCCAATCAAATTAATCCGCGCGGACCTCCGTTCTTTTGTGACTGCTGCAACTGCTGCAACGCTGGTCCGACCGTCAGCGCGCAGTCAGAACTGCGTCTGCACACTCCACGACTGTGGGCGGACATCACCTCAGCCTGTATGGCGACCCGCACTGTGCACTCCCAAACTGATTCAAAACAGCCCCGGGCTCAGAAGCCTGACGCTGCCGCCACCACGATCAGGGCGCCGATCGTCTGTTTGGAGCGTCCCTGCTGGGCGGCATCCTCAGATGGTTCGTGCTGGATTTGCGGAATGAAAAAAAAAACATGCATGCTGCGCGAGTGTCGCTCCAGCAGATGATTTGATGCAGCGTGCTGTCGCGCCTGCGAGCACCCGGTCTCACAGCAGGAAGGCTGCACATCACACTGGTTCTGGCCACAGGCTCTCATGTGGAGCTTCTGCGGCACCTGTGTGCGAGTGTTGAAACATGGCCTCAGGCCTTAGGCCTTAGGCCTTGGAGCGCTTTGGGCTCACAAAGCCTCGAAAAGAGGCCAGACGCACAGATGAGCCCGAAGGCATCAAAAGCGCGGAGGCCCCTGAATTGAGTGCGAGGGCGCACAGCACCTGTACCTGTACAGACATGCACTGCCATAAACATGTTGCGCAATTAGTGACGATGCTCTCACCGCTACGCGGAACGTCCATAGACGAGCGCGTTCCACTACTCGCAAAGTGACTACTCGCAAATGGCCTGGATCCGCTGGGGGGGATCGGGGGATCTACGAGAAATTACATCGAATCAAACATGTGTTTTTCGGGCGTTTGCGAGTAGGCACTTTGCGAGTAGTGGAACGCGCTGGGTGAGTCCAAGGGCCATTGGCTGGACACGCGCGAGGCCAGATGGCGCCGCTGTAGCCATGCCCGGCGTCGCTTCCTAATGTCCGCTGGTTCCAGCCGCAACGACGTCGGTGCCGGAGTCAGTTCCTTCGGCCTCTGCTTCCAGCGCGTGCGTGACGTCCTGGCGGCAGAGGGCGCAGGTGCGTTCCCTGCGGAGCCAACGGCCCAAACAATCCTTATGAAACGCATGCCCGCAGCTTAATCCGGCACGAGCGAGAAGACCCCTTGCACGTGGAGGCGTGCTAGAATACCCAGTGCCGTCTGGTAAGGCTTCTGTAATCTTCTAGGGACCCCTCCCTCTCGTTACGCCGGCCGGCGCGCGTGGCCAATCAACTCAAGGCCACAGTCCGTTGTAAGATGCAAAAGGTTCGCGCTCCCGAGGCCACAATCCCACGCAAAATATGACAAGTTCGCACCCCTGATGCCAGAGCCCCTTGTAAGATACGGCAGATTCGCGCTCCCGACGCCAAGGTGCCTCCAAGACGACCCAAACGAACACCAAGACGGCCCCAGAGGGCCCCAAAACACCCCAAGAGAGCCTCCTGGGCCCCCCAAGACTGCCTCATAGCATGCAAAGACAGCCACAAGATGGCCCGAACAAGTTCCATAAGGGCTCCTCATCTAGTGGAAACAAAAGGTACAACATGTGACGGCCTTCCTTTTCCTCCTCCTGTCTCCTGCTCCTGCTTCTGCTCCTCCCCCTCTTCCTCCTCCTCCTCCTCCTCCTCCTCCTCCTCCTCCTCCCCCTCCTTCACATCATCCGCATCATAGTCATCCTCACCATCATCCTCATCTTCATCTTCATCCACCTAATATTTCTCCTCCTCCTCCTCCTCGGACCATCCTCCTCCTCTTCCTCCTCCTCCTCCTCCTCCTCATCATCATCATCATCATCACCCTCACCGCTATCGCATCGCAATCAGCATCCCCATCACAATCACCACCACCACAATCATCGTCGTCGTCAGCAGCGGCAGCAGCATCAGCATCAGCATCAGCATCAGCATCAGCATCAGCATCAGCACCAGCATCATCATTATCATTATCATCATCAACATCAGCATCACCATCATCATCATGACCATCATCTTCGTCAGCATCAGCACAGTCATCAGCATTATCAGCATCACCATCATCAGCACAAACACCACCATCATCAACGTCAACACCCCTATCATCAGCATGAACATCAACAGCATCACCATAATCAGCATCATCACAATCATCCTCAACATCATCCTCATCCTCATAATCACCATCATCATCATCAGCATCATCAGCATCAGCATCATCATAATCATCGTCGTCATCAATATCGCAATCACCATCTCCGTCACCCGCCTCATCACCATCACCATCACCATCATCAGCAGCATCATCATCACAAGCACCATCATCACCATCATCACCATCATCAACACCATCACAATCACCATCACCATCACCATCTTCAGCATCACCATCACCATCACCATCACCATCACCATCACCATCACCATCACCATCACCATCATCATCATCATCATCATCATCGTCGTCGTCGTCATCATCATCATCATCATCGCCGTCATCTTCCTCATCCTCATTAGCCCCATCATCATCCTCATCATCAACATCAACGTCAGCATCATGCTCCTCCTCACCATCATCATAATCAGCACTGCCATCATCAACACCATCATCAGCATCGTCATCGTCATCGTTATCGTCATCCTCATCCTCCTGATAAGGGATCCCGACAGCCTGGGGACACGAGGTGACACAAATGAAGGCCTTTCGTATCCCCTCGAACAGTCGCGACGCAGAATGCTGTGCTGGCACGCTGGCGGGATGTCGCAGGCAACTGGATACCTTGATCGCGTGCTCGGCCTCGAAGTCCTCGAGGCATATGGAACACTCGCCGTGATACCGCCTGCCGTCCTCCGCGCCGAACAGCTCTGGATCGTAGGGCACCGTGGGGATCCTCGCCAAAATCCCAGGAGGGGCCCTCCGCTTCATCTTCTCGCTCCGCGACCCCTGCGCCTCGGGCACCCCGCCTGTGCGGAGCATGGCATTCCAGAGCAACGCCAGGCAGGACAGCAAGACCAGCAGCAGGCTGTAGCAGCCAAACCTCCTGAGCGCCGCGACGAGCCGATGGTCCTTGCACTCCTCGTGCCTGACTTGCTCCCTGATGTTGAACAGCAGGGTGCCGACGGCGAAGAGGAGGAGCGGGCATTGCATGGCCACGATGGCAGCGTGCCTCATCGCGGGCCCCAGCTGACCGCGGCGCGCAGCCTGCAGTCGCCGCCCGATCGGCTTCACGCACACCAGCCCGCGCACGGTGACGAAGAGGAAGAAACAGGCGGTGATCGCAGCACAGGCCCCCATGGCATACTGGTCGTCGAAGTAGCACATGCGCCACCTGGCAGGAGAGCCCAGAGAACAGAACCGGCGGGTCGCATCGGCGGTCGGAGTGCATGGCTTGGGCGGAGAGTGGGCAGCCGAGCTGGGAGAGGGCGAATCGGTGGAACTCGGCACGCTCGCAGGGCCTCCAGAACGAAACCCAGATCCAAATCGGAATCCGAAATCGAATCGGATCGCAGTCGATCGACATCGGATCGACTCGAGGCGGAGGGGTCGACGTGGGCCCGGCCTGGGGTCGTCGCCGCTGGCGGCCGCGAGGCCCATGTGCGCCCGGAGGGCAGGGGCCACCACCAGGAAGTAGTCGAGCGTCCAGAAGATGGCCACGCAGCCCGTGCCTATAGAGGCCTCCTAGATGGGGTCGGAGTAGAGGGGGTCGGAAGATCGCGCCGTATCGCCGATGCATCGGCGATGCACCGGCGATGCACCGGCGATGCATCGCTGACGTCGGCGATGCATCGGCGACGTCGACGTGAAGCAAAGCGGGTTGCACATCGAGCCGCATCGGCGATGCATCGGCGATGCGGCGCGACCCTCCGACTCCGTCTACTCCGACCCCATCTAGGAGGCCTAGAGCCTAGGACAAACAACCAGTACGATAGCGGGTACATGAGCCGGTCGTGTGCGGGAGGCTCCTCGTGGGCGGGCAGAACGGAAGGGGCCCAGGGACACGCAAATACATGTACACAAAGAACAGGACTCCCCATATTTTCCCATATGTTCTCGGCTTTTGTCTTCCCCCCCACTTCCCATATTTTCTATATTTTTCTGGGGAGTCGACGATTCATCGTGTCTGTGCGTTTTTTGTCCCTCCTGAAAAACATCTCCGCATCCGCGGCCTCGTGGGCCGAGCGCCCCGGGCCGCGACCCCGCGGACGCGGGGCGCTCTCTCTCACGGACGCCCCGCGCAGGACGCATCTCCGTGCGACGGCGTATGCGCGGCAATTTCGCCCAGGGAGTTCAGGCCGCGAGGGCGGGGAGATCTGGCCGCGCCACGGACAGCTGAGCAGGCACCGACCGTCCTGGTATTCATTTAGTCATACAGCGAAATGTTCTTAGAACCCAAACATGTTCTAAGAGGAAAAAAACAATGTTCTTAGAACGTGAGCCCGATGTGTTTAAACAGGACAGACTCCGCCAGAAATGTTTTAAGAACATCGCGTGGGAAAAAAAAGGTTCTTACAACATTGTTTGGTTGGACTATAGGCACGCCAGGACGCTTCGCCACTGCTTGAGACAGGTACTTGTAGGCGCTTGCGGGCCAGGCCGAAGGACACACACACGGCGGAGGATAGCCATTTTAGGCTTAGGTCGGGCATGTCTCCCTACAGGCGGATTTCAGGCGAAGGAAAAACAACCAAACAATCGCCAAACATGGTCAAACAATAATCGAAAAATCGTTCTCAGACAATGTTTGAACTATTTTTGAATACTCCTCCTGTAAAGGGGCACGCCCGACCTAATTTCAGGCGCCACCATGATGTATCATCAGTGTGGGGGGCCGTACGGTCTTACTGTTTCCCTGGGTGGGGATCTGCGGTGAGAATTCTGTTTGTTTGTGTTGTTGTTGTCGCTTAGCTGCCCCGATACGCAACCCGCAACACGTATCGTATTGATACGGAGCTCAACACGTAGGCTGAAAACGTAGGTCCGACGCGATACATTCGCCAAAGCGTGGTCCGATACGTGGAGCCAGCACACAACGCATTGACACGGATGTCTTGAACACGGGACGTGCTGCGTTTCAAAACGCGCGTGTCGAGGCAACTAAGTTGTCGTCGTCGTCGCAGCTCGTGTTGAGCAGGGACCGACCGTCCCGGCATTCCCATAGTCCTACCACGAAATGCTCTTAGAACCCCAAAATGTTCTAAGAACATTTTGGGGTTCTAAGAGCATAAACCCGATGCGACAAAACCCGACAGTCCCCGCCAGAAATGTTCTAAAGACATTTCCTGGGAGCCACAAGAGGCTCTCAGCACATTGTTTGGTGGGGCTATAGGCGCGCCGGGACGCTTCACCACTGCTTGAGTCGTCGTCGTCGCCGCTCTCGGGTCGGGCGACAGGGGGGGATAACAAGGGGGGGGGGTGAGAATCAGCTCACGTAGCTGCTTTTCCCGGCGTCTCCCGGCGCCGGGAGGCGCCCATGTATCGAGGAATGGGCCCCTTGCTGAGGCCGCAACCAGCTGCATGCAGCAGATTTCGTACCCCCCCCTTCCCAATCCCCTTCTGCCGCAAGGACGCTCCTCCCTCCTCCTCCTCCTCCTATACTCCCTTCCTCCTTACCTCCCCCTCCCTCCTCCTCCCCCTCCTCCCCTCCTCCTTTCCTCCTCCTCCTCCCCCTCCCTCCTCACCCCCTCCTCTCCCTCACTCCTCCCTGCCTCCTCCTTTGCCTACTCATCCCTCCCCCCTCCCTCGCCCGGCCCCGCCGGGGCTGTGCGGCTCCGCGCGCAGCGCCGCAAGAAACGCCCGCGGCCGCGCGGCCGCGCGCCCCGCGGCGGCGGCCCGGGGCCCTCGGCGCCGCCGGCCACGACGGCGGCGAGGCCCCCGACCCAGTGGCCGGCCTGCTCGGGGGGGGGCCTGCTCATCATCCCCTGCAGACTCTCGACGCCTGTCCCCCGCCTCTATCGCACGCCGAACAGCAAACGCACGACGCAGCCGAAGATCGACGCAGACAGACACGCCTCCCTCCTCCCTCAATCGCCCCCCTCCTCCATGTTCCTCATCTCCTCCTCATCCTCCTCCTCCTCATGCCTCCTCCTCCTCTCGTACTCCTGCATCAGCACATCGCTGCCATCGCCTACTACTTCTACTCCTTCCCCCTCCCCCGCCTCTCCTTCCTCCTCTTCCTCCTCTCTCCTCCCCCCTCCTCCTCCTCCTCTCCTCCTCCCCCTCCCCTTTACCCTCTCCTCTCCTCCTCCTCCGCTCCTCCTCCTCCCCCTTCCTCCTACTCCTCCTACCTCCTACTCCTCCTCCTACCGGCTCCTCCTCCTCCTCCTCCTCTCTCCGCCTCCTCCTCCTTCTCCTCCTCAACCTCCTCCCTCCTCCTCCTCCTCCTTTACTCCTCTCTCCTCCTCCTCCTCTCCTTACTCCACCAAATGTCAAGGGCGGGCCCCGATGGGGCCCGGCCTGCGATGCAGGGGGGCACAAAAGTGATCGCGGCCCCGGCCTTGGGAACAAAAAATTGCGTAAGCATTAAAACTCGGAGGCCCGCGCGGATGTCTCGGATCGGCCCTGGAACCCTGGGCGGCGCCCTCCGGCGCCGCCCCTGGCGCGCTCCGCGCGCCAGGGAGGGGGGTCCAGCGCCGATCCGAGAAATCCGCGCAGATCTCCGAGTTTTTATGATTATGTCGCCTCCGGCGCCGCCCCTGGCGCGCTCCGCGCGCCAGGGAGGGGGGTCCAGCGCCGATCCGAGAAATCCGCGCAGATCTCCGAGTTTTTATGATTATGTCACTTTTTGTTCCCCTCTGTCCCTCTACAAGAGGAATATCTGAAAACAGTCAGAAAGTAATATGGGGACGATTTGTTGACCATTTGGGAATATTTTGGGGGGATCTTTGACATCTGTTTCATGTGTCGCCCAGAATCCTCCCTGTAGGGGGACAGGCCCGACTCCACACAAAGGTGGGGGTTGGGGCAGAGGTGGGGCCGGACGGAAGAGCGCTCCACGCACGGCCCCTGGAAGAAGGAAGCGCCTCATACGGGCTCCTCCTCCTCCTCACCCTCCTCCTCCTCCTCCTCCTCCTCCTCCTCCTCCTCCTCCTCCTCCTCCCCCTCTCCTCCCTCTCCTCCTCCTCCTCCTCCTCCCCCTCCTCCTCCCCTCCTCCTCTCTCCTCCTCTCCTCCTCCTACCTCCTCCTCCTCCTCCTCCTCCTCCCCTCCTCCTCCGCCTCCTCCTCCTCCTCCTCCTCCTCCTCCTCCTCCTCCTCCTCCTCCGCCTCCTCCTCCGCTCCCCCGTCCCACCTTGGGACGGCCCTCCCTCTGCGAGCCCCCGACCTGCCAAGCTCCACGTCCGCGTCGCCGGCGCCGGCGGCCATGCTGCCGCGGGTCCAAGGGCGCACGGGTCGCAACACGCTGCTGGCAGGCCGGCTGCGGAGGCAGGGTGACGACGATGACGTCATGATGTGACTGGCTCGGGATGCGGCCCAGGACTCTCAAAAACGTACTGTCGGGGTCTTGACCCAAAGAACTCAAAATAAGGAACGAGGCCCTTTTTCTCCACAAGTTAAGCTTCGATTTCCTGTCGGAAACATAAGGAAAATCTGAGGCAAGCTGTGAAACACTTAAGGAACGCGGAGCCCCTCCCCAACGAAAAGGGTTCCTTCTTCAGGGCCCTGACTGTATCTGGCGGCCCTCGCCTCTGCAGCCCGTGGGGAACGTCAGGGGGCACTGCAGATCTGGAGATCCTGGGAGGTCTTCGAAGGTATATTATTGTCATGACCTCTTAATCATCTAAGTCGTGGCCAGACCGCGGGGATCGAGGTCTTGAATACCAGCGATCTGCTAGCCTCCTCCTCCTCGTCTTTGGAGTTTTCCTCCTCCTCCTCCTCCTTCTCCTCGCAATCTTCCTCCGCTCCCCCAACCTCGGGGGCGACTCGAATCAGCGTCCTCTGGACAACCCAGGTCGAGACGACTTTGGACTAAGGCTGTCGTCTTTCATGGCTCTGACTTCTGCTCGTGTGCGGAATATCGAACGAGCTTCCTCCTGCTGATCATCCCATTCTTTCCTGTGCGGGCGAGGCACGCGGTCGGCTACCTACGCGCGGGGCCCGATCAAAAAAACATCCAAGCCTAACCCCTCCGTGTCAGAGCAGAATGCGGCCTGGGGGGGACAACACGGGTGAGAACGGCGAGAAGCAGGGCGTGGCTCTGATTTTGGAGGAAGAATGGCATGCAGCAGGAGAAGGATGAACAGGCGAATAGCGAGGAGGCGGAAGGTGAAGAGAGCACGATGATAGGTTGATTATCAGCCCTGTCTTCGGCTCCCTGGAGCGTTTTGGCACATGGGCCGGCACACAGCACTGGGAGCCCCTGAGAGCCTCGGGCGTTCAGGAGCTGCTGCTGCTGCTGCTGCGCCTGCTACTCAAGACACTGCCGCTACTACTGCTCCTACTACTCCTACTACTACTACTACTACTACTACTCCTACTACTACTACTACTACTACTACTACTACTACTACTACTATTACTACTACGACTACAACGACGAAAACGCTACGACGACGACGACGACGACGACGACGACGACGACTACTACCACTACTAGTACTACTACTACTACTACTACTACTACTACTACTACTACTACTACTACTACTACTACTACTACTACTACTACTACTACTACTACTACTACTACTACTACTACTACTTACTACTACTACTACTACTACTACTACTACTACTACTACTACTACTACTACTACTACTACGACGACTACTACTACTACACTACTACACTACTACTACTACTACGACTACTACTACTACTACTACTACTACTACTACTACTACTACTACTACTACTACTACTACTACTAGTCATACTACTACTAATAATAAGACTACTAGTAATACTAATAGTGACAATAACAATATTACAAACACCTTCTGGAGTGCTCGATCGCCGAAAGAACCGTCGCGCCCAAAACAGCCCCTACATGCCTAAGAGACTCTGGGCAACAACCACGCACCGTTACACGCCCAAGCCTCGCTGCAGCACCATACGCGAAAGCGCTGCTTCCCAGACGGCCCTCCATACGCTTCTAGTCCAGAGAGCATGAGGATGAAAGGCGAATGCGACACGAACGAGTGTGCGGACTAGAGTACGTTGCGGAATATGATGGGAAGAACCGAAGCGACACGATACGGACGAGTTGAGCAGGAACGCGACAGACAGCATGCCAGACAGTGACTCCGGGGACCGGGACTCGCTGCACCCCCCTTCCCACGCTACCAGTCGCGCGAAGCAGCGGCCTCAGCTCCCCGGGACGAAGGGGAAGTGCGGCGTCTGCCAGACGACGGACTGGGTCAGGATGCCGCTGACCGCCAGCATGGCCAGCCGCCCGTTCTTCAGCTCCTTGATCCTCATCTGCACCTCGCCCTCCTTGGTCTGCGGGAGGAAGCCCTTGCCGAAGTTCAGATCGCCCGCGTTCTCCAGGGTGAGCTTTTCGAAGCCGAGGCCCAGGTCCTTGAAGCGGAGGGACTCGACGACGCCGCAGAACGCGAGCAGCCACCACATGGGGCCCTCGCCGAGGCCGGGGCCGATCAGCTTGCCGTGGGCGTTGTAGAGGTTCAGCGCTGGGTCCTCGGGACCCCTCGTTGCCGTGCAACCTTTTCAAACCGCCCCTCCACCCTTCCGTTCTCCATTCCTCGCCCGCCTGCCTCGTGGGGCGAGGGGGGGGTGGGGAGAGCGAGGGAAGAGGAGGGATGGGGTCAGGGACGGGGGGCTGGGTCGGACTGGAGTGCACTCCTCCAGCTGCGGGATGGGGATGCGGAACCCGTCAGGCGCGATGAAGCCCACGAAGGCCAGCATGGCGACGCGGCAGTGCTTCAGCTCGGCCTCGCGGTACCAGGCCAGGTGCTCCGGGTACGTCGTGGACAGCTCCTGGGGAAGCCACAAGGTACCGATACCGCTACTCCCCGGACCTCTCCTGGGGTGCGTTCGGACCAGCATCTCGAGGCGAACCCAGCGGAATGGACGACGAGGGCCTCCGAGGAGGCCCACAGAGGGGAAAACGAGGGCAGGGTGGCGGCATGGGGCACCTTTTTGTCCCCCCTCCGAACTCCAGGGGGTCCCACTCGTACTTGCCCCAGCCGTGGTACTCCGAGCCCACGAGGCCATCGGCAAACGCCCGGCGGGCGGCCGCGCTGCGGCGCGCCACCACGGCCAGGCCGGCGGCGAGCCCCGCGGCGAGGCCGAGGCCCAGGGGCGCCGTGGAGGCTGCGCCGGCGGCCCCCTCGCGAGGCGCCGCGGCGCCTGCGCCGCGCAGCGCCGGCGGCGCGGCGGGAGCGGCGGCCAGGCCGCCCGGGGCCGCGAAGGCGGTCTGGCGGAGCAGCACGCAGGCGCCGGTGCCCGCGAGGGCGCACACCAGCGTCTTGGCGGCGCGCGCCATGTCGGTGCGAGGGGGATGGGCCCCCATTTTCCACCACCACCACCACCGCCACGAGCTGGAGGGGGGCAGGGGGGGTGAAGGAGGAGGAGGAGGAGGAGGAGGAGGAGGAGGAGGAGGAGGAGGAGGAGGAGGAGGAGGAGGGGGAGGAGGAGGAGGAGGGGGAGGAGGAGGAGGAGGAGGAGGAGGAAGAAGTGGCACAGGAGGAGGACCCCCTCCCCCTCCTGCTGAAGGTGGTGGCGGCGGAAAACAAGCCCACCAGAGCAGGCGCCGCGGGGGCCAGGGTCAAAGCTGTGGGTGTATAACCTGCAGGTGTCCGGGCCGAAATGTGCGCGGAGATACCTCTGGCAGGTCTACGTCAAGCAGAAACTGGCGGAGTTTCCGACCGAGAGGGTGAAATTATCCTAACACGTTTCAAGTTAGTCCGATGTTGAGCAGACTACGACCGTGCAAGTCTCGAGCTGATATGCCCTCCCTGGCAGTCTCTGGCGACCCTTGTGCTGACAACGTTGTGGATCGGGTGGACACTTCCAATCAAGATCATCTCGGCGAGATCCCGATGACGCGGGTACGTCATGCTCGTGTCGTGCCGACTTCGGCGTTGGTTTCTGACGATCGGCCGTTTCCGAAACGTCCAAATCGTTCCACATCGAACGATTCTGGGTCGCTCGCGGCGTTCAACGTTGAACGCAACCGGCGGGGTCGCCGCCGGTCGACACGACACGAACCTACCGTACTTGGATGGAAAGTGGGGGCGGAGGTGGGTGTGGCGAGGCCCGGAAGGAACAAGTCGGGACTCCCTCAAAGTCATGTTGTTCCCATCGCACTTCAGGGCCACATCCCAGAAATAACTTTTAGCACCCAGAGAAGTATCGGAACAGCGTCTGCCCGACAAGCTGGCGAAGTGCCGAACGAGTATCGCCTTCCAGGGTCCGACGCGTGATCAAGCCCTCCATAACCGATACTTTCTGGGTGCTCGAAACTCATTCTGGTGGTCAAGGCTGAAGTGGCCTGGAACATCCTAACCTTGCACGCCTTTTCGTCTCGGCCTAGCGCTGCTTGAAGACGACGACGCGGCAGCGCGGAGAGGGGCAGGGGGCGCGGGGAACGCCATCTGCCCCAAAAAAACCTGCCAGCGCCCGAACACAAACACCCTCCTGGAGGTCGCCCCCTTCGTGGTGGTGCCGATTCTCGCCCCTCGCCATCGCTCGGACGCCCATTCCCCGTGCATTTGCCAATTTCGCGCGTGCATGTTTGTTCGCAAGATGGGCCAAGACGCTCCTCTTGGGCGCCCGAATTAACCGGGGTAAGTCGGGTCCGGGGTGAGTTGGGTTTGGATTCCCGGAAAACGAACCCGAGTTAGCCCTGACCCGAATTACCCCTGATGATTTGGGGCTCTGGACGCCCGAATTATCTGGGGTAACTCGGGTCCGGGGTAACTCGGGTATGGATTCCCGGAAAAACAAACCCGAGAAAGCCCTGACCCGAGGTACCCCTGATGATTTGGGGCTCTGGGCGCCCGAATTATCCGGGGTAGCTCGGGTCCGGGGTATCTCGGGTTCGGAATCCCGAAAAACGAATCAGAGCAAACTCTGATCCGAATGACCCCTGATGATTTGGAGCTCTGGGCGCCCGAATTATCCGGGGTAACTCGGGTCCGGGGTAACTCGGGTTTGGATTCCCGAGAAAACGATCCCAAGCTAGCCCTGACTCGAGGTACCCCTGATGATTTGGGGCTCTGGGCGCCCGAATTATCCGGGGTAACTCGGGTCCAGGCTAATTCGGGTTCGGAATCCCGAAAAACAAACCCGAGCTAGCCCTGACCCGAGGTACTCCTGATGATTTGGGGCTCTGGACGCCCGACTTATCCGGAGTAACTCGGGTCCAGGGGTAACTCGGGTTCGGAATCCCGAAGAACGAACCCGGGCTAAGACTAACCCGAATTACCCCTGATTTGAGCAGGGGCCGACAGTCCCGGCATTCCTATAGTTCTACCACGACATGTTCTTAGAACCCCCGAAAATGTTCGAACAACAAAAACAATGTTCTTAGAACATAAACCCGATGTGGTAAAACAAGACAGTCCCAACCAGAAATGTTCTAAGAACATTTCGTGGGAGCCACACAAGCTTCTTAGAACAGTGCTTGGTAGGACCATTGGCACGCCAGGACGCTTCGCCACTGCTTGACTGATGATTCGGGGATCCGAACCTCCATGTAAGGAACCGATGCTTTTTCTGGCCCCGCACTGAGAGTCGCACATGACAACGGATTCTGGTGTGCACGGCATCCTGGTGTATACATTTGTTGTTGTCTCCACGAGAAAACGGGGAGCAAAAGTATACACCACACCGCCCCGACGTCGTCCCCGACCCTCAAAAAAAAAAGTCCTGGGATTGAAAAACCGCCCGCCACTGGTAGTGCACATATATATATATTTATATATATATATATATATATATATATATATATATATATATATATATATATATGTATGTCCCAGCTCCCGACCATGCACCTCGACGAAAAGAGGCCCCGCGCCCGAGCGACGCCGAGCACCCGGCCTGCGGCCCCGCCCCGCCCCGCCCCGCGGAGCCCGAGGCGCGCGCGCGGAGCGCGCCTAAGGGGCGGCGCCGGAGGCGCCGCCGGGGGGGCCCCGGCGCGGATCCGAGAAGTCCGCGCGGGCCTCCGAGTTTTTAGGTGTGTACATGTCACGTTTTGATCCCCTTTATGTCGTTTCGGGGCCCTGGTCCTCCATGGCACCTCGACGCACAGAGGCCCGCGCCCGAGCGACGCCGAGCGCCCGGGCCTGCGGCCCCACCCCGGCCCGCCCCGCGCGGCCGCCCGCGGCCCGGCCCCCCGAGCCCCCCCCGCTGCGCGTGGCCCGAAGGCCACGTCGGGGCCCCCGCGCCGCGCCTCGGCGATGCCTCGGCGACGTCCAGCGTGAATCGGCTACAGGGCAGTTTTGAATACATTGGATTTTTATAAACATATATGATTTTAATACATGATTCATGTTTGAATGAATATATGCATGAACGCATCGTTGTTTTTACCTAACAGCGTTTGCTGATAGGCTTCTAGTAGGCTCAAAAGAGAGCAGCAGATGACTCCACAGGGGGGTCGGGGCGGCATCCGGGGAGCTGTGTCCGAACTCGTGTCCGAATGCGCTTTTCGCAAACAGTCACACACTTCGTGCTCTTCGACCTCCCAGAACTCCACTCCCGGGACACATTCTGAATTGCCCGGAGCCAACTGTAGGCCACTTCGTGCTCTTCGAGTGCCCAGAACTCCATTCCCGGGCCACATTTTGAATGCCCGGAGCCAACTGTAGGCCACTTCGTGCTCTTCGAGTTCCCAGAACTCCATTCCCGGGCCACATTTTGATGCTGATGCAGAGGCTGAGAATGGTGATGCTGATGCTGAGGCTGAGGCTGAGGCAGGCAGGCTGAGGCTGATGAGGCTGAGGCAGGCTGAGGCTGAGGCCGAGGCTGAAGGCAGGCTGAGGCAGACGCTGAGGCAGGCTGAGGCTGAGGCAGGCTGAGGCTGAGGCTGAGGCTGAGGCAGGCTGAGGCTGAGGCTGAGGCTGAGGCTGATGAGGCTGAGGCAGGCTGAGGCAGACTGAGGCAGGCTGAGGCTGAGGGCTGAGGCTGAGGCAGGCTGAGGCTGAGGCTGAGGCTGAAGGCAGACTGAGGCTGAGGCTGAAGCAGGCTGAGGCTGAGGCAGGTGAGGCTGAGGCTGAGGCTGAGGCTGAGGCTGAGGCTGAGGCTGAGGCTGAGGCTGAGGCTGAGGCTGAGGCAGGCTGAGGCTGAGGCTGAGGCTGAGGCTGAGGCTGAGGCTGAGGCTGAGGCTGAGGCTGAGGCAGGCTGAGGCTGAGGCTGAGGCAGGCTGATGCTGAGGCAGGGTGAGGCTGAGGCTGAGGCTGATGCAGGCTGAGGCTGAGGCAGGCTGAGGCTGAGGCCGAGGCTGAAGGCAGGCTGAGGCTGAGGCTGAAGCAGGCTGAGGCTGAGGCTGAGGCAGGCTGAGGCTGAGGCAGGCTGAGGCTGAGGCTGAGGCAGGCTGAGGCTGAGGCTGAGGCGGCTGAGGCTGAAGGCAGACTGAGGCTGAGGCTGAAGCAGGCTGAGGCTGAGGCTGAGGCAGGCTGAGGCTGAGGCTGAGGCAGGCTGATACTGAGGCAGGCTGAGGCTGTGACTGCGACTGCCGCTGCCACTGCGACTGTCATCGCGAATGCGACTGCGACTGCGAGAACAGCAGAACTCTACAACTGGATTCTCATCTAAATCGTAAGGGGAATGCTTCCATATATGCTTCTACACATCGCTGTTAGGTTGCTTTGCCGGGTTAATTAATACTAAATCCCTGCATTTTCAATACATGATCCGTACGCGGAGCACGTATTAAAAACGGCACTGTACACGCAAGGAGTGGCCTTTTGGCAAGAGTGACCTCTGGTGCGCGGCTTCTTGGGGCCGCGAGGGGGGGCGGACACCAACAA